CCTCCCTCATTTCCCTCTGAGGGTGCTGGGCTTACCAGGGTTTGCTTTGATCCTGAATCAGATCTGAAGATACTTGCACAAGGCCTGCTCAATCTGTGAGTATGCTTAGGTTAAGCAGGTTCTTCAGCACTGCTCAGTTATTCCCTCACAAGTGTGTACAAAAATACGTATTTCTCTTACAAAATAAAACAAAACTAGTTAGGCAGATGCAAGCATGATTTCATTCATTCATCTTAGTCTTCATCCATACATAAACTCAAAATCATTCAGTCTAAGTAACTGCAATGGTAAAATCATTCAGAGACTTTGCAGTGCAATACTGCTCAGAAAATATTTTGGTTGTTAACTTTAGGATATTCTTTATATTTTTCAGTTTCTAATGTGCTTAAGACAACATCAGTATTTTTAAACATAGTTCACTCTTGAATCACACTGGCTTACAGGAGTTCTGTTGAGTAACTTTTTTATACACTTTAGTTTACCTGAAAACTACTCAAACATTCTGTTGAGCCAGTCATGACCTCTCAGTGTGGAAGWAAGGTTTTCTATCTAATAATCAAGAACACTTCAAAAAAGGGGAAAATGAACATGCTGAGGACCCAACCCCATTCAGCCTGGTGCACATGAGCAGGTCAGGTTGCTCAAGAGGGCCAGTTATGTGAGAGTGTGGATCTTTAAAACTGTGAAGCTTCTGTGTGCAATGTAAAAGGTCTTCAGGACTTCAAAAACAACTCTATTTCAGAACATAGCAAATACAGACTGTATTATGCATTGCTTTAAACAATCTCTTGCTTCTCTTACACTACCAGCAGAAAATTGGTATTTTTCTAGTTATTTATCTTTAATGCATTTTAATGTCCTCTCTGGAAACATATCCCAGAGTGGTTTAACAGCACACTGTTGGTGTGATCAGTAACAACCACATACCTGAGGATTGCTTTGAGCCCTTTTCAGTATCCTATATTCATGTTCTTTCTATGGTGACCCACTTACAAAATATGACATTTGTGCTGAGTTTTCAGGATAGGTTAAATAAGCCAAAAGTCATTGTGATTCCTTAAATTTAAATTTTATAAAAAATTAAGTTCATCATGCATGTCAGCAGGATTGCCTATCCTGTGATAATTGTACAATTATGCCTATGAACTGCATAATTAACCTGTAACTTTAAAAGATAGGTAGATGGATAGAGAGATAGACAGATGAGTCAGCTGAAAAGAGGGATTCCTGCAGTACACAGCATTAMGCACAATTATATACTTTAACACAATCTAAATTGCTAATCTTTTGCACTTGCATAGTACTTTTCATCCATAAGGACTTTGACAGCTGTATCCAAAGAAATTCAATAGAAGCTCTAGAATCCTGAGGCCAGACTCCCTGTCACAGGAAACATTCTGCAGATGGGAATAAAAACCCTCAGCCACTTGCATCAAGACAAATCTTGTCACAGAGGGAAAGTATCACAGGCCATTTKAAATTCTTATAGCAGCAGACAGGAGCTCTACTTTGACATTGAGAAAGCAGAAACTTTTGCATTTGTCTTACTTGGAAGAATGTAATATTGAGATATAGTACAAGCATTTTTCATACAGAATGATAGACATCTCATTTGATGCCTCAATTCCGTTTAAGAACACATAAACTTCTGAATCAACTAAATTAGTTACTCACCCTTCCCAGTCCTTGCCATCCATGTCACTTCCCCACTGCTCCATTTATGCTAAGAATAGTTTTATTTTCCCTGTGTCTCTTATCTGTGCTGTTCTCCCATCTTTTGCTCATTCAAATCCTTTGCCACAAAGGCCTGACACCAAAAATAATAGGCTAAATACATGTGGCTTACTATCTAYTTATAAATAAGATCTCTTTCACTGATCCAGATGACAAATTGTAGAACAAGTTTTGTTACTTTTTTTTTTTGCTGCAATGTGCCAAATAGTTTGTCATCTTCTAACAAATATACTTTTAGACGTGTGTAACAGCTGAAATATACATATCTATTTGGTATATAGACAAGCTAATAGTCAATTAAATCAAAGTAACTTTAAAGTGCTCAACTTTATAGGAACTCTCTCAGTCATTTACAAGACACATTGTTCAGACTCTCCATTGTAATAACTTCTTTAAAATACCACAATAGATACCACAAGAATAGAATGGTTCTAACTTAATACAGGGACATATCATAATCAGAAGACAGGTCCTCCTCAAGCACATCAGTATATTGATATATCAGTGAATCAGAGATGTTACACTCGGCTGGCATTCACCCCCTTTCAGGCAGTCAGCAGAAAACTGCTCAAACAACTCCCACTTTCATGTCATAGCCATGACATTGTAGCATAATCAGACAATAGCAAAAACAAATATATACATAAATACATAAATAAATATTGTCATTGCTGTCTCCACACTCTTGTTTATATTTTAATGAACTCTTCTGGTAATAACAGTTTCCTCCATTTCCAGAAAACCAGCACTCCATAAATATTGAGTTGTACTATTATCTGCTGATGTACCAATTTTCTATAAACAGAGAAAAYCCAAATGTTATCACTAGGCCTAACAGTTGAAAAAGGTTCGTATAACTATATAACAAAACAGGAATGTTGTTTACTTGTTAATGCTCTACTAATGAAAAAAAAAGCTGTTATGGCTTTGATTAATCTCAACCATACGGGACAATTCTGGCATAACTTTCCTTGAAAAGTGACTATTGATTTCCTTTTCATTCTACACTTTGATACCACATATCTGGAATCTAGCCCAGGTTTCATAACTGCTACTATCTCCACATTAACAGCCTGTGCAAGATTAGAAATAGCTTTTGAAGATATATGCAAGGGTGAAGCAATCCAAGAATTTTCTCCATTTCCACAGGTTGAGCTTTTCCATCTGTCTGTGTAACAACTTTTAAGGAATTAAAGGTGTTTATAGGCATGATCAAATTAATCAGTTGCAATTAATTAATTATAACATTTTTACTCTTTTAGCACTGCATTGGTTTCTCTCTTCTCTTCTCTTCTCTTCTCTTCTCTTCTCTTCTCTTCTCTTCTCTTCTCTTCTCT